TTAAACCACCAGTCCCTTTCCCCGTGTGAAACGCAAATTTGCTGCTTGTATACGGGCGCAACTTTCCAGGGTCGGCTGCCGGAAAAAAATGGCTGGCGGCGCCAGCCAAAATGAGGCCCACAGCGGTGCATTTCATTTTTCTGGGATGCAGGGCATTTTCAGGCTCGGCTGCAATTGCTGATGGCAAGGTACTGCAGTGGTGGTTTAACCTTTTCAACATCTCAATGATTGCAGCCCGCAAACGCCACAAGAAATTAGTATCCAAGTTCCAACTATCCATCACCTCAAATCATATAGAGGCCTGCTCCTTCGAAGTCGCAGTTCGCCTCACATACCACCAGAAGCATTACTGCCGACAGCGCCCTGGTTGATTTCGTGTGCTCCATAACGAGGCAGCTGGTGGGAACCACACTCGCAATCGACGTTATGAGCCTGATCCAGGTCGATAATAATCACCCGAACACTACTCCTGTCCCAGTCCTCTCGTACTACCCCCCTCCCCCCCCTGTGTGTGTGTGTTTTAGATTTCCCCCACAACAGCCCTAATTCCACCCAGGTGAATAGATTCAGAATCAAAGCAGTCACTGTCTTATTGCAGACAACGAGAGCATTTGAGATGTCCACCATATCAAAGCAATTTTGTAATTAGACAGTTTTTTGTGTTTTTTTTGGGACACCCCTTTCATTGTTCTTGCAGCTCCCCTTTTACTGTGCCCCTTACGCACAAGGCTGCCCACGTTGTGTGTGTGTATGTATGTGTGTGTGTGTGTGTGTGTGTGTGTGTGTGTGTGTGTGTGTGTGTTATGTTTTGTCGGGCTTACTTCCATTGTTGTCAAGNCTTCCATTGTTGTCAAGGGTTCGGACTTTTTTTTTTTTTTTTTTTTTTCTTAACACACCTCCCTGCAATGCTAGTGTTGCTGATAAAAGCAGACACCACTAGCACCCGGGGGGGGGAGGACTCCAGTGATAATCTGACATGATGAATTTGACAAGAATGGCAGCAAGTGTGAGAGACTAGTCTATAACAATCCATAAAACCGGCGCTATACAGTAGTAAGACAAATTCACAAAAAACTTGAGAAAGGCATGACTGTGGCAGACTGTTTCTTTCGTTGGACTTTCAACGACTTATCAGGAGGTTGAATCCCAACAGTCTGCACAGCATGCATTTGACTGATGGATAAGGACTCAGTGACTCACCACATATCGCCCAGAGTTAGTGATAGGGCACCTGTGTTCGGATAGAGAAAATGAACAGGGCAATCCTATCAGACTGTTGATCCAAAAAGGGCAATCCTGTCAGACTGATAGAGAAAAGTGGTTGGAGTGGTCGACTTTACTCGCACCAACAGGGCAATCCTATCAGACTGTTGATCCAAACGCCTGACCTGAACCGAAACAGTGCGGCGTAGTTGTACTTTTATTTTTTGGAGTCCTGGGTATAGTGAACACGACAATACACAACATGGCCTTGCTAAGCTCTCTGTTCAGGCAAGTCTATGCGGTTACTGTCTTCGCCGGAATAGAACGCCGGGTCATTGTGGCTGCATCTGGACTGAAAATAGCCCCAAGTAGAGGCTATAATGACCAGGCGTTCTATTCAGGTGAAGGCGGTAGGGGGTTTGGACGGTACTGGCAGTCATGTCATATTGCCTATCCAAGTGTAAGCAGATGCTAAAATACAGCAGCTTCTTCCCCTCTACTGCAAACAACACGAAGCAGGCTAAAGATGAGCAGCACCAAAGTTGAAACAGCTTTACCTGCAATAGCAAACAACGTGAAACGCGAAAAAACTGTTCTTTTGCCTTTTCCTTGTATAGTTGTATCTTCATGTTCCTTCCTTTTCCTATTGGGTTTTCTTTCTAGTTCTTCGTTCATCTTCCCGTTTACTATCCCTCTCACGTACAGGGCTTGCCATGTTGAATGTGGTTGAGCGTGAGCTGCCGACATCTTCCCTTTCACTGCGCCCATAACGGCCCACGTGGGGAGGTACACTCCTCGTTTGCAGCGTGTTTTCATTTATATGTTGTCTGGTCTCATAGATGCTCTTTGTAGACAAGGGGAGGGTGGAAGGAAAGAGGGACGGGGAGGATTTCGACTCGAGGGGAAGCAGGGGAGAGAAGACAAGGAATAAAACACAGGAAAAACAAGGTTGATGCCCGATAAAGCAAAATTTTTAGGCTTTCGTTTTCCATGTGATGGACTGGGAAGAGGTGGTACTTGCCAAGTATCGGCTTGGGATCATATATTTTTAGGACTTTTTTGGATGTATAAAACAGTATAATTCATTATCTATAGCTATTTTTCATTTCAGGTGGAAAATGCAATCGGACGTATGGGGTAATGTAACTGCTAAAGGAATCTCTCATATTAAAGGAGGTAATTTTGCTCAGAGTGCTATTTACTATTAACGGATGGCTGAGAGACTTTTTATGGGCACGATCCGATTCTGCGTGCTAAGTCAGCTAAAGGCATGGGCCATAATTATTATGGTGAGCCTGCTTGGCCTAATGACTGACTTTATATTTTACCAGTTGAGCCTTGCCCTAAGTGCTAGTGGTGACTGCTCTTATCAGCACCACTAGCACTGGCGGATGTGTTCTCAAAAAAAAAAAAAAAAAAAAAAAAAGGTCCTATTGCTTGTACAATAGGATTAGCTGTTCTCGATCCTTCAACCTTTGTAGAAAAGGGGAGGGTGGAAGGAAAGAGGGAGGGGGAGGGAGGAGTTCGACTCGAGGGGAAGGAGGGGAGAGAAGACAAGGTATAAAACAGAGAAAAACTTTCACAGGGCGGAGGGTGGTGGGGGGTGGGGGGGGTGTGTGTAGGGCAACAACAACAGGTCACAGTTTGCCTGACCTTGTTCAGGGAAGGGGGGAGGGTCGGATGGAATTTTCTCAGGAGGTTGTGTAGCTTGTGAGTGCGCATGCAGATATCCACATTATATTCGCATGTGTAAGCATGTGCTGTCTATTGTCATCATCTATTAAAGCAATACTCGTACCTCCGCCAGTGTTGGGAAAGGAGGAAAAACAGGCTGTTCCCGAAGAGTTCGGAGCTGGCCATGACGACGCAAGCCATTGATAAACCTCATTGGCGGCTGTCATTTCGTTTCGGCCTCCTAAAACGTCGAAGCGTAGGCCTTGGGTCACTTGGCAAAGGTGGGTGCCAGTGGTTTAACTCCAATTTTTTTTTTGTAATGTCATCTATTAACTCCATGAAATAAGCATCGTTATGTCAGACTGTTTTGCCCGCCCTTCACAGACTAATCAGGAGGGCGAATGAACCCCAAGAGGCTGCCCAGATGTGTTTTGACTTATGGACAAGGTCTCGCCACATGGCCCAGAGCTAAAACTACCAGTCCCAGCCAGCACATTATCTCTCAGTCCGACCTGACAATTATCCTCGACCCGGTCTAACATTTCTTGGTGGGATGGCCTGACTGGATGGTGGTCCCGGACACCAATTTTAATCAGGATATCCCAATCAATCAACCCTGGGCATGAACATTTCCTCTACACACCGACCCCTTGATGAGACCCTTGATGGCCCCCCGAAATTCTCCTCAGGACCCTCTATATATTTGAACATTCTCCCCAGGACCCGTTTCAGCAAGGGAGTGTTTGTCTTTTGGCGAATGCATTATATATATATATTTATATCGTCAAACAGAACTGCCCGGTAAACTGTAGGCAGGGAGGGAGAAGAGGACAACAAACGAGGGGCTGTGACAAACTGTTTCGTCGGAGTTTCACCGACTCATCATATATATATATATATATATATAGGGGATTCTGCAGACTGTTGAGGGTTCAGCCTCCTGATGAGTCGGTGAAACTCCGACGAAACAGTTTGTCACAGCCCCTCGTTTGTTGTCCTCTTCTCTCTCTCTGCCTACGGTTTACCGGGCAGTTCTGTTTGTGACGATATATGTCAATCAGACTTGCTGTGACCGCGTAGGCCTGGCCTTGAGGGCTGGGCAGGTCAGGGTAGTAGGTGCAATTTTTTGTTTTTGTTTTGGGCCATGCTTATTTTCTCAGTATTGCTCCAATTTTAACAGACGTCCCGAAGGACAGAAGGTGCAATTTTTAGATTTTGCAAATATGAAAACAATGCATGAAAGATATTCATACACAAACACAGCATTCATCACGTGTGTGCTTCTTGCAGTTGTTTGCCACACACACACACACACAGAGACACGTACACACACACACACACACACACAGAGAGAGAGAGAGAGAGAGAGTTTTCATCCATGCCATAAGTTGGTGTCTGATAGGCAAACCATTCAGTCGTTACAATATCGTGTCAGAAGCATTGGAAGCTAGCTCTACCCACTCGCCCGACTGACTCATGGTAAAAAGTATCCATGAATCTTTGGGTTTGTGCGGAATGAATGTGTGTCTAATGAAACTTTGATGCGTGCTTTCTAATGGTTTACAGAAGCATTGGAAGCTAGCCCTAGCCCTAGCCCTAGCCCTATCCCTATCCCTAAGAAGTCTCCCAATCCCTAGCCCTAACCAGTCTCCCAATCAACACATGGTACAGGTGGCCGTGAAACGTTGTGTTTGTGCGGGATGAGTGTCTGTCTCGGTGTGCATGCAGAGAGAGAGAGAGAGAGAGAGAGAGAGAGAGAGAGAGAGAGAGAGAGAGAGAGAGAGAGAGAGAGGGAGAGAAGCGGTTACATGGCTGAAACGTGAGAGACCTGTGTGCTCGTCATGACCGCTTTTGGTTCTCTAGGGTGGCAGGATTCTGAAGTGTGATGAGATCCTCCCCTCGCATCTGGTTCGTGTACGCTCCTCTCAGAGTTCAGTGCTTGTAACACTTGATTGTTGGGCTGCATCTCATTGCATGAGCATTTCCATGATGGTACAGGCTCGCATGCAC